CGCCGATCCGGATCGATTTTTTAAAAGCCCGATCCGGGTCACCGATCCGGTTTTTAAACCATTGGACCCAACCATTTTCAAAGGCACAGTCATAAATAGGAGAATTATTGAGCTTTTAAACAATCAATTTTCTGATAAAAGATCCTATCAAAATAAATGTCCTTTCATACCAAGTTAATATTCAAAAAAAAGAAACGCCCTCACATAATCCCTTACAAATCCCTTTCACCATAGCTTTATCCTATATAAAAAGGCAAACCTTTTGTTTCATAGCTAATTCTACGCTTACAATCAAGGTCTAGAAAAACGGAACAATGACTCGGATCGGCCACTCAAAAATCATGTGGAATCAGCGAATTGGTAATCTGAATTGAAAAATCGGCCGGAACAGTAGGTCTTAGACTCAATTTTTATTTATTTTAAAATCACTATAATTTCTCAAAAATCTAGGTTTTTAGGTTTCTTAGAAAATAGTAGGAATTGCATTATAGTTTTTCCATTATTGTATAAAAAATATATAAGTTTTGAGAACGTGTTTTATATAGACGTAATAATTAAAAACAATACTGCAATTGCCACTATTTATTTGGAAACCTAAAAAATAGATTTTTGAGAAATTATAATAATTTTTTGAGAAATTATAATATTTTTTTGAAAAATTTATATATTTTTGACATAATAATGAAAACTTATATTGCAATTGCCATTATTTATTTAGAAACCTAGAAAATAGATTTTTGAGAAATTATTATGATTTTTTGAAAAATTTCTAACGCTGGGACATGTCGATTTTCTGATCCAAATCACGGATCCACCGATTCGCATGAACGATTCTTAGTTCGGATTGAGCGTTTCTGATTTAGAACATCGAAGTTTTTACAATAAAACGTACATGGATTTGTTTTTGAGAAAAGAAATTTTTACTACATGGATTTGTTTTTGAGAAAAGAAATTTTTAGGGCATGATATCTTGAGACATGGAGAAAGAGATGCGTAAAGAGAAGTAAGATTTAGGTACAAACCAGACCTTTTCCTTACCTAAATTAGATTTACCACATGACAACATTACTTCCTCTTCTTGATTACTTGTTGAATATCATGTTCGTGGGGTTGTAGGTGACTTAATAAAAACAGATTAATGGTACTGTGGGACCAAATTGTCCAAGTGGGACAAAATTGTTCAATTGGTCCCATGGGTCAATCACCTAGTTAGGGGGATTTGTTGGACTCGGAAACTATGATCAGGACAGTCAAATTTTGAGCTTTAAACACATTTAAACAGGTGCATTAATTGAGGTGGCAAAACCTCATCGAACGTTTAAATGGCCCTCATCTAAGACGGATTTTGAATCTGAAATTTCATTGATCAATAATCGCAATCACCAGGATAATGAATACTTGTGCTTCATCTTTGGACCTTTCATTTTAGTTCTTTACATGCCATCAGATCTGCACTATTGTCTGAGCCGCAAAATCATGAAGTTCTAGCATGAATACATTAGAGTGAGGTGTAACGTGTTTTGTATCACAAATCCGTCACCAACCTCGATTTTTGGAAGGAGACATTTGAATGAGATCTCATTTCAACTTTAAAAAAAAGTATACAAAGAGACCATTTACTTGGGGTAAAAGGAGGTCAAAATCACTCCAATCATCGTATTTGAAATAGGTGATTGTCATTGCGCTATTGACTAGATTCAAAATTTTTAAAAATAATAATCTCCAACTTCACACACTCCAAACCATCCATCTGATAGCTAGGGAAAATTGTGAGCTTCTTGTACAACAAACATAAACATGCTCATAGTACACAATCCCAAACTTTTCCTAAGCTAGGTTTGTGTAGAAAAATGACAACCAACCATCCATATTCGGGCCATTTCTCGAAAATCCATTTTGCCTCCATATAAATAAATAACAATAAAAAGGGAGGGGAGATTCGGTCACTCATTCTTTCAGTAATCCACCAACATTTTTTTAGTTCTACCACCCTAACCATTGGTTGCAATAAGGATGATACGCCAAGTTCCGCACCGACGGCGGAACGGGTGTATATTAAAGAATGAGTTGCCAAATCTGCTTCAGAAAAGAACACTCTAATAGTATGGTGTATAGAACAATTTCCACATTTTATTAATGAATTGGGGGGAATAAACAGAAAATTGCTCCTGTAACTCTAGCACAATTTAAACTCGCAAGCAATACTGAAAGAAAAAGCTAGGTGAGGTTGTTTAGGCTTCCGTTCTGGGGACAAATTTCTAGGGTCCGTCCCCAGTCTTGGACCTTGAGCAATGCAACAACAAAGTAAGAAATACAATACAAAACCACTTCTCATCACCTTCCTTCACTCTTGCAGTTTCGTGTCACCTGTCTGCTTCGACTCTCCCGATTCTCCGTCTTGCAGTTTTGTGTCACCTGTCTTTTATATCTGCTTCAAACCCTCTCCTGATTCTCCGTCTGCCGATTCACCTGTCTTTTCTATCGGCTTCAAACCCTCTCCTGATTCACTTATCTTTTCTATCTCCTTCAAACGCTCTCCTGATTCTCCTTCTCCTCCTGATACCTTCTTATACTTGTACCACTTGGCACAAAATAGATAAACAACAAAATTCAATGCACTTAAAATTGCCAGGAACCAGTAGAAGAGGTCCAAGTTGTTGAGGTTCATGTCAGTTCCGTGGAGCCAACCCAACTTACTAGGAGTAATCCTTTGGGTGACTGAGTTTATGGTGTCCACAAAAATTGTGCTAAGGAAGTAGCCTATGGACAAAGAGAGCCAAGAGAAGGAGGTCGAGAGGGACCTCATACTGGCTGGGGCCTCACTGTAGAAAAACTCCATTAGACCAACAAGAGTGAACATATCAGCTATCCCAAATATAGCATAATGGAAAGAGAGCCAGAACAGGCTGATGTCCTTCCCATCATGGATAGCTGCATTCCTCCTCTTTACTTCTACTAGGCCTGCAACTACCATGGACACCACTGAGAGGACGAGGCCAACCCCAACTCTTTGCAAGTGTGTGATGCCTGAGGGATGGCCTGTGATTTTTCTCATGACGGGGACGAATATGAGCTCGTAGATGGGTATCAAAATGGACATAAAAAAGAGGGGGATTACGGGGATTGATGCCGCCGGGACCTTGAACTTTCCAAGGTAAGGGTCCATTTGGATGCCCTGATGGATGGAGAATGTTTGGAGTTGGGCTAAGCATGTGTTCATGATAATGGTGCTCCCTATAAGGGGCAGCATTCTTGTGAGGATCTTCACCTCTTCTACTTGGGTAACTGTGCAAACCTTCCATGGCCCCACGTCTTCTTCTCCTTGGACTATAGCAGCTTTGTTCAGGAACCTGGTTATTTCCAATGAAAAGTGAGAGAGATAAATCTAACTATACCAGTATGTTTTCTAATAAAGGGTGATGTTTGTATAGGGTTGGCGCCTTAAACAATCAAAGTAAGACGCACCTCTAAATGATACCAAAAGATTATGTTTCGGTGAGATGGTCTAAAACTCTACTTTCAATTTAATTATGAAATTTAAAGCTTCAAAAATAATATAGATCGTGTAGATTTATAAACACTTGAAAATGGATGGTTCAGATAATACACAATGAGATCCTATTTTCAAAAGTTGAATTATTTTTTTTTCCCCACATCCACACATATGGAGGTCGAGATGATCAATCGGAGGGTTTTTGGGCTTCACAGTAATTTTTTCCAATGAGTTTTTGAGGTGCACCTATTAGATGGACACCTTATACAAACTTTTTGCTTGAATCAAATAGAGAAAGAGAGAACCTAAATTGTTTGGTGTGTCGAAGCCTTTCTTCATCAAGAGCAGCCTCCCTATTGCTGATCTCGTACAGCTCTTCAGGATTTTCAGGTAGCGTCTTGTTCATGTTTTTAAATGCCACCACTATAACCTGCAAAACCCCATCTCAATATAAATTGAATGACCACCAATATCACAAAACTAATTGGCCTACCTAGTTTTCTTGTAAACAATTTGAGTATGTTCCTCCATTTCTTGCATTAAAACTTAGCTAGCTAATAATGCAACGCCCTATTTGACCAAAGATTCATCTGATCAGTTGTAGTGTTTTGAAATGTGGACCATATTCTACGTGATATGAAACTCAAATATCTTTTAGAGAACGTGTATTGCGTACTCTCATTGCAGCATGTTATACAGTTACTCCCTCTAACAAAGACCCACATACAAAGGTTTCCTCAATCTGAAATTTGAGATACTTCAAAATGCCTAGATGAGTATTTTAAAAAACTCAGAAAAAAAAGGGGGCACTTTGATTTTATGACAGGGTTTTTTTTTTTTGGATAATTTAATGGAGACTGAGACTTTTTACACGCCATAGAAATAAAACTCAAGATGTAATGTTATCGCGACCAACCACCCTAACCACCTTGAGCCTATTCCTAAGTTCATGAAAGTTTAGATGTGACCATCTAAATTTTTATGGCCTCTATTTTATCTTTGCACTTTATTTCTTAAGGCACCTATGGCTTTTTTATTTTGCAGGTGGTCACTAGGTTTGAGGAGGTCATATCCCACTTGGTGTCCCAAAAATCCTTTTAAAAGTACCCTGGGGAGTAATTGTAGGATACGTTGGAGCATATTATGTTTTAGATTGGGCCTAACGCAATCCTGGTCCCTACCGTTCGTTTATGATGTTTGATCAGCACTTATATGTGCAAGCTTCAAAAAAGTAAGGTGCCTTCAATATATTACACAATTTTATTTCAATTTGCTCTTTTGGGACAAAAACATATTTTCATCACAAATACCATAAATAATTTATATTTCCAATGGTTAAGGGTAATTGTGGGATTTTAATAAAAGATAACTAATCTTGTAATATAATTTCCTTTCATATTGGATATTTATATAAATTTATGCCGGGCCCTCATAAAGGGGAAATTAATTATCACTGTTATTTTTCATCGCAAAGAGACAACAAATAGCTTTAATTTGTAATGGTATACTTTCGAAATGCATACATTTAGGAGGACTTAGGTGTAACTTCAATAGGCAATACAATGAGAGAAAGTAGACTTAAGTGGGCTAAACATGTCTAGCGCACACTTAGTATATTAGGAGATGTAAGTTGGTTTAAATAGAAGGCTCAAAAAGACGGGATATAAAATGCAAGTTGGGACAGACAACTAATGTCAATGTAAGTACCCAATACTATACACTTAGGTAATATACAATCCCATGTCAATACTAGCCCTAAACTTTGTGATCTCGTAGTCAAGCCTCATAACCAACACACCTTGTTCTCTAGCATTTATGCCCCATTCTCTAAACCAAGAGCTAGAGCTCCATACCCATCTCTCTCCCCCCCCCAACCTCCTTCTCTCTCTCTTTTGTGTGCGATACCCATCTCTCTCCCCCCCCCAACCTCCTTCTCTCTCTCTTTTGTGTGCGTGTATGTGTGTGTGTGAAGTTAAGAGTACAGATGTTTTAAAGAAGAAACCTGCAAGACTTTCTGCAATGGGCTGTCCCCGGGAACACGGCCTCTGTAGAAAGGCACTCCAAAAGTAAGAACAATGAGACCCACGACTGTGGCGATCATGGAGACGAAGAAACCCAAATCCCAACCCTTGTTCATGTCTAACCATACTATCACTGTAACTCCAATTGAAGCTCCAATGGTTATACTCATTAGAAGCCAGTTGAAAAAGCCAGCCAAATGCTTCTTCTCCTTTGGTTCCTTATGGGAAAACTGGTCCGCACCCAGTGCAGGGAGAGAGCCCCTTATGCCACCAGCACCAAGAGCTATAAGATAGAGTGAACTGTAAAAAATGGCTGCCTTCCGACCATGTAAACAATCTCCAGTTAAGCAAAAATCAGGTTGTAAGGCTTTGTAGTGTGCTTGAGTGGTGAGTAGGATATATCCCTGCAATAAGCGACATTTGAGATCTCCACCCTTTTTTTTTTTTCCAGAAAGAAGTCAAAGGACACACAATCGTGAGTTAGACCAGTTGATATTTTAGGTGTCATTTTGAGAATAGATGAAATGTTCAATAGTTGATATTTTAGGCAGTTTGATAAACTTTTAAACTCTTAACCTTAACCTCGCTCAAAAGTTTGGAGAGACCCATAGTAAGCCTTTTCGTCTTTGAACTATAAAAGAGATTTGTTCGTATCTTACATAGAAAGTTCACAATCACCTCAAACTATCAAATGTAAAATCGGATAGTTGGAGTTATACTGTTAGCGATCTACTTAGATCTGATGGCTGAAACTAGGTATCACATGTGCTATATATGTGGGTGGGTTCACATAGAGAACCTTCCCTTTAGAAAATGAAAATATCAGCTGGGCCTTTACCTAGTTAAATTTCTAATCATAAAACTCATGTGGAGGATGGCCCCTCAAAAACTTCCATACATTTTTATCAGTGAAACATCATTTATAAATTCTAAGTGATAAGCCATGTGTACAAGCATAAGTTTCTATTAGGACCCGGTTTTTATGAGTCCCCAAAGTCATACTATTCTCGTCCGGGCTCCCTCTATCACCTATTTTTTATTATAGATCTTGGATCCAAATTTGTAGGGATCCATGATCTGTAATATATGATCATGAATATAGAAAATAAAATAAAATAAAATTTTACTTTTAATTTTTTTTTTTTTTTATCAATATCCATTGAATATGAATTTTTAGTTGTGGAGGTTCATCTTAAAGAAAGACCTTTGTGAGTTAGCATGCTAGTGAGTCCGCTGATTCATAGAACACTTTTCCTTTCTATTATTTATTTATTTACTTATTTATTGTATGCGCATAAAGGAAAATGCTCTCCCTAAAACTTTTTGTTTTGAAATCTCTCTCTCTCTAAAACTATCCATAAAAAATTTCATTATGGTCAATGAGTCATATTACCACAACTTCTATGAATCCAAATATGAGAGTTGTGTTGAGTCGAGCCAGATAAGTATCAGAGATGTAGCCACCAAGAAGACTGACAAGAAAGGTGGTTCCCATGAGGTTTGTGAGGGTGGTGGATGATCCAGCCAAGTCAAAGTACATCACCATCATGAAATATAGCACCAAGCTCACCATGTTTGCCACAAAACCCATGTTCTCAAGCCCTGCCATAACTTCATTCCCAAATAGAGATATGTAAATATCAACTCTTACAAGCTAAGCAATCCCTAAATAAAGATAAAAGAGAAGCGTTTTTAAGTAACAACAATAAGGGATTGTACATCATGAGGCCAAATTTTACCTTTGAAATAAGAAGATCACAAACATAGCTAGACGTCAGATGTGAAATCTATCAATAAAAGGTGCTTCATCTTTTTACAAAAAAGATTTGATAAAATTTTTTCAAATTTTGAGTATGGTCAATGGCGCAACCCCTAGGGTAAAGAATCTCACTCTATATTTGCCAAGAGATAGTGCTAGTTGCAACTATGAGTTTGTTGGTATAAGCTACTCGAAACAAGTTTTCCACATTAACATAAAGCTAAAAATACAAAAGGGAAGCTTTTTTTATGACCCCTCTACAACATAGAAGTTTTATCCTCCTCCTACCATCCAGTCGTTCATTTTAATCAAGAGAGCCACTCAACGTTTGATCTTAAATCCAATGTCTCAAAGTATTTTATTTTTAGTTTTGCTAATATAATTTTTCTGAATATGAAATTTCGTACGTGCCATCTTCTCAATGAGACGCACCTATAAAAAATATTAACAATAATTTTTTGATAAAATATAATAACCAAAATACCCCTTGACAATGTGATTGGGGCAAACTTAGCCCTCCATTAAAAAATGGACGGTTGGATAAGGGGGAGGATAGAACTTCTATATTGTAGGGGAAACATAGAAAGCTTTCCCAAATATAAACTCATATTGTTTGAATGAAAATTCATATTATTGGAGGACAAAAATACGAACATTTCCTCATTTTCAGTTGAAATCACAATTGAGAAAAATGCCAAATATTTTCCCCGCCATCTGCATGTTGCTAGTATGGTAACCATTGGATAAATGGATACCTTTATTTATTTATTTATACATGTTAGCTAGGAATTAGGAACTCTCGACGGCGCCATCACGGTGCCAAGATCCTCGTTTCGTTTCCTTGGATCAATGAAGACCTCTCTACATATTTCCACGACCACAATTATCGAATTTTGGTTGGATGGGTGTGAGAGAGCCAGGAATAATATTATAAATTGATGCCAACTAATAGTTTTCTGCTATAAATATTGTGTAATACTGTTGTAAGCTCATATCCCACACTATTCGATAAAAATCAGATGCCCTATAAAGTATATGTATATAGAGATGCATAAAAGCTTACTGTAAAATAAAAGTGAGGGGTTTGTTCTTACCAAAAATAAAAGAGGTGGCTCTCATTCCACCTCGTCGGAAGCTGATCGATTTTGATTTTGATTTTGCTTTTGCTTTTGATGGAGTCTCCACATCTTCGTATCTGCCCTCCTGCAAGGCAAAACAAGAAAGAGAAAGCGAGGTAGAGTGAGAAAGAGCAAGAGAGAGTGTTGAAGAAGGGGTAGAGAGAGAGAGGTACCATGGCTCCCTAGCGAGGTTACGTGAGGAAAGAGAGAGAGAGAGAGAGAGATGGAGGGGCTCCAATGGGTTTGTAAGAGAGGTGATTGCTGAACATAAATCTCACTCCATGCATAGTATTGCTCGCTAATTTGCATCAACCTTTCCGCCCTCTTGTTTACTCATTACTCCAAATAATATGTAATTATGCATATACTCTCTCTCTCTCTCTCTCTCTACATTTATCTCTCTTTCTGTCTCCCCCCTTCTCTCTCTCTCTCCGGCCTCTTGTTTCCTTATTACATATGCAATTGGCATACTCACTCTCTCTCCATGCACTACACTTTCTCTATCTCATGAATAATCACATATACATCAACATCCGTCCAGCCGGCCGTTTAATGTGCCCGAAATGAAAAACTAAAGAAAAGAAGATTCCCAAGGTCCCATGGATCCATACAATAACTATATCCTTCTTAAGTGCGTATAGCGTAGTCCTACATTCCACACTTGCTCCAGACAAAAAAAAGGCTACTTACAAAGGTATTTTCAACTGCAAATTTTGAGATCCGCTTTAAAATCACCCAAACGCGTATTTAGAAAAAAATAAAAAGAATTTTTTTTTTTTTTTTTTTTAAATTTGAGTGCCTAAACGCTTAGATCTAACCATCCAGAGATTAGATGGTGTTTGTTTACTTTTTGTTCAAGAAATACAATGTATGAGATTTTCTTATTTTTCTAAGAGATAGCTATTTTTGCGTTCAGGACTTCACAGTTGCCCAGTTGAGGAGGTTACATCCCCAAGATTCAATTCCTAAACATACATCTAAAATGGATATTCCTTGACACAGCCAATAGACACTATACTCCTACAAGAGCATAAAACCTTTGACATTCTTTTAAGAGTAATGATCCTATAGGACCCACCCTCCTCCACCCATGTGTGTAAGTGTAAGACCCTAAATGATTACCATTAAAGTTGGCATGGATCTCTACAAAAGTCATCACATAGATGTATGACTTGACTTTGCTATACATCCGTGTCAAATTTAATGGTGATCATTTGGGGTCCTACACACATGGGTGCGGAGGGTGCTACAGGATCATTTCTCTTCTTTTAATCGTTAATAGAGGGAATAAGAAGATACTAATTTAAGCAAGGCTATAAGTGGTGTATACCCTTAAAGTTCTAAATATTTTTAGACGTTTAAATACATGTGAATTGTAATACGAAAATTTCAAGTAGGGACATTTTTGGTCATTTAAAAAGTAGAATGGATATTTTTATATGAAAATAATGACATTTTATTAGTAGTTAAAAAATAATTAATATATATTCATGGTGATGTTATTGTCAACTATTGTTAATAAATATTTTTGTTTCTATTTGAAATTAATATTTTATCTTTGTTTAATTATTTAAAATACATCTAGAGAAAATTACTACACTATAAGATAAGGGTATGTGTCCAAAAGCGACGAGGACTTTAACAATATACGGTATCTAAGTGTGCAAGATAAGGATATGTGTCCAAAAGTATCGAGGCCTTTAATAGTATACGGTATCTAAGTGTGTAAAAGTGTTGAGGACTTTAAAAGGTTGAATAGAGTAGTATACGGTATCTAAGGGTGCAAAAGTGTTGAGGACTTTAAAAAGTTGAATAGAGTATCTAAGTGTGCAAAAGTGCATAGGACTTTAAAGGGTTGAAGTGGCTTAACAAAAACCCTTTAACCATTAATCATTAATTTGATTGTTTTGGGCATCATCTTTATATAAACTATTTTTTTTTTCTTTATCCTTTGTATATTACTGGCAGTCGCTTTCATTAGTCATTAATTGATTGTTTTGGGGTCATCTTTATGTAAACTTTTTTTTTCTCTGTCGTTTGTAAATTACTGGGAGTCGCTTTCACAGCGACACAAGGCCAGTTAGCAAGGCCAGTTCACTTGTTTGGTTAAAGACAAGCTTCACTTTGTGAACTCCTATTTATCGCACTCCATGGCCAACGCCACAAAAAGATTTATTATTATCGCACTTCAATGGTTTTCAGCCCAATTATAATTGTTTGGACCAAATGTCTAAAATCCGGGATTGGGTGGTTAGATCGGTTTTCGGTTGGAGTTGGACCGATTTGGATCCTATGTCTGATCTAGATTGCTGATCCAGGCCAGGTAGGAACAATTCTCCAATTTGTATATTGGTCCCAAAAGATTTAGATAATATTTTTTAAACTTAAAAAAAGAAAACATAACAAATAAATTGGATGGGAAACATATTATTTGATAGATCTAGATCACATTATTCCTTGATAACTTGCCTGGTTCTTTGACCAAACTGGGCAAGTACTTATAAATCAAGGCTATTTCTAGTTCCATCAGGGAATTGGGTTTGGTTCCAACAAATTACTAATCTAAATGGGTATTTTTTATATCAATGTTTGGGCCAAGGATAACAAAAAGACAATAAAGAGGGGCTGATCCGCTACATAATATTATGGGTATACATCAAACTTATAATATAGAACTAAGGTATACATCAAAAGCCCAGTAGAAAATATCGTTGAGAAGTCAGAAAACCTTCCAGTTGAATGATTCTATCTCGAAATGTATATATATAAAGAAAAAGAGAATTTCAAGTCCTAAAAATAGTGATCATTGTCATAAGTTTTCTAAACTGTTTATTTTCAAGATTTTCAAGTGTCCCTGGATCTACTTAATCTGCACCATTTTTTAATGTTAAATTTTATAATTAGAGTTGGACATAAATTTTCAAATCATCGTGAGGTTTATGACACCAAAACTACATCGTCAGATTTCTGACACCAGAACTACATCTTCTGACAAAATTTAGAAGTGCACCTTACTCACCCTAATACAAATCGGGTGTTATATTTTCTTTATCTATTGAACATTTTTCATATTTTACTAGAAAACGATATCACATTTATAATTGTATACCAATAAGTGATTAATAGATAACCAATGTAATGAAGTTACAACGGACATAAAAATTGTAGTTGCATGTAAAAGTTTGAAAATTTTGAAATGTATTTAATGTGCCCATAGATATATTCTAAATCGAAGAAGCTTCAACAAGTCAAACAAAATTACATTGAAGTATTAGCTCATTGGCTGAAAGATATGGCTAAAGAAATTTTGGGGCTGAAATTCTGCAAAATATCGGTGACTCGAAAAGTAAAATCTAAAAAAGAATAATTTTAAGTTCTTGAAGGCTCCAATCCAACATCCATAAAGTGGACAGCCAACATCCATAAAGTGGACAGCCTGGATTAACCAACAATGATGGGTTCGTTTTGCCCTTTGTTGTGCGATCTTTTCTGTCACATGATGAGTTCTAAGCGTCTGCAAAATTTAGGATCCCATAACTTCTTTTTTTTTATTTTATTTGAAGAAAGTTCCAAAATCTTATTCATCTATGAAAATAATACAACAGAATTAGAAAATAAGAACATCATAAACTACTAAATCAGCAAGAGAAAAACTTTGTTTTGCAAGGGAGTCCGCCAAGCCATTGACCTCCCGCAAGACATGAACGAAAGAAAGAGATAAAGACCAAGAGAGATCGATGGTTTCCAACAAGAAAGATTTCAGCTCCCACGGGGCCTTATTTTCCTTGTTGCACCAATTGATGACATTCAAAGAATCTCCTTCAACAATACAACTCATACCAATATTCTTATCCCTAAAAAGTCTAAGCCCCGTAATAAGTGCATAAAATTCCACAAAATTCGCTGCCTTCACCCCCAAAAAGACCTGCATAAGTAAGCAATATCTGACTCTCCCAATCCCTTACAACACCTCCATAACCCGTATTACTTGGGTTTCCAAAAGAGCTACCATCAAAGTTCAATTTAAAAACCCCCATTACTGGCGGAGACCATCTACCAATGGCTTTATTCCTTCGGCCTTCTAATTGGAAAAGAGTAGATAAGTTGAACATCACATCAACCTCTATAATATCTTTCCCCACGTTATGAATCGATAGGTTCATCCAAATAGAATGGAGGATCATCTCCAACACTCTTTCCCATGGCAATGATGTCCCCTCAAATACTCTTCTATTTCTTTCTTTCCAAATTTCCCAAAGAATCACCCCTCGTGCAATTTGCCAAATAATTACACCAGTTTGAGACAAAGAAGGGACAGAAGGAGCACGCAAGACTCCAAAAACATATGCAGGTAAGACCAATGTGATGCATAATTGTCCAAAAAACTAGCGCCAAATTCCACGGGTAAAAAGGCAATGAAGAAAGACATGGGAACTTGTTTCCCCATCGCACTTACAAAGAAGGCATACATTCGGCCAGACCTTGCCTCTTTTGATGAGATTGTCGGTAGTAAGAATCTTATCTTGCAATACCAACCAAAGAAAGCCCTGCGCCTTGAGAGGAACCGGCCACTTCCAAATACTTGCTAATTCTGGCTTAGACCATTGCCATCTATCATGAAAAATGAGATCGTACATCAACCTTACCGAAAATTGACCATCTTTGGTAAGGTCCCAAATAACCTCATCCTCTGCATCCACATCAAATGGTATATATACATCTCTTAACATTAAAAGAAGTTCAGAAAATTGGAAAAGTGTATCTTCAGAGATCCTGTTGTAAAGGAAGTTAAACTCCCAATCCTTTTTATCCCCTTTTGCTACCAATAAATCATGTATAACAGCATTTTGGTTCTCCATACGACGGAAGACCAAAGGGAAAACAATTTTTAATAGAGCATTACCCAATGCCAAAAGGATATACTACGGCCATTATCAAGAGATCATCGAATATCCCTATGAATCAAAGCATTACAATAGGAAATGGCTTTCCAACAAGGGGACATACCTCTATTACTGCGTCGCTCTCCAACCCACATCTAGAATCTATCCTCTCCAGATTTAACCGCGATCACTTTATACCAAAGTTGAACTTTGAACCTTAGGCTTCTCCACCACCATTTGCATAAAAGCACCTGATTGGCCAGTTTATCTTCCTTAAACCCAGACCATCCTATCTCTTAGAAGTATACACCCTATCCCATCCCACGAGATGGAATTTTTTAGAATCACCCAAAGAACCCCAAAGAAAGTTACGCATAAGCCTCTCAATTTTCTTGGCCACCGATGCTGGAATTTGTAAAATTAATATTTGATAGATAGGTAGATTAGACAAACACGCTTTTATCAGAGTAATTCTACCCCCCAAAGATAGATATTTAAATTTTCACAAATCCAATTTAGTTTGAATCATCTGGATGACTTTATCCCATACTGCAACTGGCAGTCGTCCATCTGAAATAGGCATGTCAAGGTACATCATTGGAAACTGCTCCTCCTTAGAACCTAGAACCTCCGCCAAGTTCTTCAGAATCCCCTCATCACAATTAATGCCAAACATTCCAGTTTTGTTAAAGTTTACCTTCAGACCCAAAGTCACTTCATAACATTTTAGAAACAAAGCAATATGAGACACAAAGTCCTCTTTCACCTCACAAAACATGAGTGTATCATCAACATATTGAAGGTGAGTGATGCAACGACCATTGTTAGGCAATTGAAATCCTCCAAAGTGGCCTTTAGCAACGACATTATGGATGAGTAGACTAAAACACTCAGTATAAATTGTGAAAAGAAAAGGTGAGAGAGAGACACCTTGTCGAATACCCCTTGATGCTCTGAAGTAACCAACTGGACTCCCACAATACAAAACTGAAAAGTGAGCTGAAGAGAGACATCCAAAAATCCAACTCCTCCACTTCTCCCCAAAACCCATATTCTTCATGATTTCTAAAAGCACACTTCATTCAACCCTATCATATACTTTCTCCATATCCAACTTAATCACTAAACCAGAAATCTCATTCACAACTCGAGAAAGTATACATTCTTGGGCCACCAAGACATTATCAGTAATAAGCCTGTCTTGAATAAATGTTGATTGAGGGCCCGGAATGATGAAAGGCAACACCACCTTAAGATGCTCCGCCAGCACCTTAGCTATAATCTTATATAGACTTGTTAAAAGACTGATAGGTCTATTATCTCTCAGGCTTTCAATAATGGACTTTTTAGGAATAAGAACAACATAGGTAGAATTGATACCCCTAAACAACTCCTCTCTCCTAAAAAAGCCTCTAACCATCTCAATGAGTTCAGAACAAACCAGACTATAGAAAGTATCGAAAAAGACCAATAGAAACCCATCTGGCCCAGTAGCCTTATCATCAGTTAAGGAAAACACGCTTTGTTCTTCCATAGTAACATCCCCTTCCAAAAAAGAGACCAAATTAGGGGGAAGAACCTTAAAACCCACCCTTTCAAATCTAGGAGTAATCGTGATCTCGGTAATAAACGCTTTATGAAAGTGAGTAATAATAGTGTTAGACATCCCCTCACAATTATCGAGGACAATACCCTGAATAATAAGACCAGAGATGTCATTCTGTCGTGTATGAGCATTGGCCATAGTATGAAAGAATTTAGTACTCAGATCACCTTCATTAAGCCACTTTACATGCGAGTGTTGTTTCCAATACACTTCTTCCACTCTCCTGAGTTCCTCTAGCTCCTTAGTACATCAAGTTCTCTCACCCATCAGATCTTCAAACAAAACACCTGTACTTTCTACCACTTCATCAACCAATTGGATTTTTTTAAGAACTTCATCAATCCTACCTTTGATAGGAGAACAATTATTTTTCTTTTATGCAACCAACTTATGCCTAATATTTAGCAGTTTTTTATGTAGCTGAAAGTCCATAGACCCAATAGAGATGATATTTTCCCAGGTGCTCTTGATCAAGTCAGTGACCATTTTTTCTTGCAGCTAACCTATTTCCAACCTAAAAGGTGCAGGGCCCTTAGAGACATTCTATGTGCTTAAAAGAATAGGGGTGTCATCAGAAGACAATCTAGACAAAGATTTAACATAGGCTTAAGGGAAAAATTCAGACCAAGTACATGATATAGAAACCTGTCTAGTTTAAAGCGATTAACCAAGCTTCCATTGGACCAAGTAAAAAGTGAGCCTGAAATTGGCAAATCAATCAGAGCAAGGGGTCCCATAACTTTGGTTCTTTTTGTCTATCAACTAGATAAGATTTACATGTATGTAAAATTTAAGTTCCAACAACCCTGGTCCATTGACTAACTTCAATGAGCATACGCTACATTACAAACCCATGGGTTTATATGATCTTTTTCAAATCTAAAGCTATCATGGCCTCTGTCCATGCCCATCAAGGCCTGGGCCTAGTGTCATCAAGGTTTCCGAACCTTGGGTTTGGCTGAAAACTTTTCTTCAAGACACGAGTAAAGGGAAAAGGAAATGTGCTTGGCGAGTCGGCCAGCTACCTGTCGATGTGCAGTCTCCTTTCATTTTGGAATCTTTTTAATCTCAATTATTGTGTTAATTATGAATGTAAAGTTTATTGTTTTGAAAAATAAAAATCATTTTTTTCAATTATATTTTTCCACCATTCATTTTCAGGTATGGCGGAAACACCATTTATTGACGTCAAGATGAACGTCTGATGCATGAAGGGATGCACATGTCTTGACAACCAAAACCGTGTCCTTGGGAAAATATTACATATGACAGTAGTATATATTGTGCTGCACATGAATTTTCCTCTCGGTTCTCTTCAATTCGCAGATGGCTCCCTGTTAATATCCACTGTCCATTTTCAGAATGCACGGAGGATGCACCCTTGTATAACATATTTGTAATTAGTGCTTCCCATGTCACCTATTTTAGTTATCAATCGCAAGAATCAAGCTTAGGCTTAAGTGGTTAGCAATTGACATCAACAATGCTACATTCGATTCCTACTGCTGAACAACTCGGAAAAAGTATTTTAGATAAGCAAGCTCAACTTCATATTAGTATGTTACACAAGGGTGGAAGAACTTAGAACCTTTTACCCCTTAACAATCTGGTATCACAGTTGGCCAAAGACACTCACCATAACTCATACCATTAATCACAAGTATCTACGATGATTACATGTCAATCATTTTATAAATGATAGAGTTTATATTAGGTGGCAACCTTATTTGTAGAAGTAAAGTCACGGTGTTCTGCGCTTTTCATTTTAATTAGACAGTATAGATTTATTACATCTTTTAGGATAGTTTGAAAAACATGTTTACCATGATATGTTATTCGATGAGCAGCACTGCTGAAAAATTACATCACAGTAAAAATTTACAAAATTTCAGACTGGAAATCATTTCCTAGGTTAGCTTTATGAACTGAAACGAGAAGCACAATATTGCTATTTGATATGAAAACCCAACATATACATCACCGAAATCAGTAGGTTACAAAACTAAATTAAAAAAAAAAGAGAACAAGGAGGAAGAGGGTGGTTGCAAAATGTTGGGTTGACTGAGTTCATACAACTGACCCCAAGAGTTCATAAGCAGATGGCACAGTGTGTAGTGGATGGCCTTTCTGGTTTCTATCCATGATTTTTCTGGCAAGAGAGACTTGCTTACCAACTACAAACACAAAGGCCTTCCCTTTGCCACCAGCTCCGCGTGCAGTCCTCCCAACACGCCGCACATACTCACTTGGATCTCGAGGGAAATCAAAGAGCACAACGTGATCCACTTTTGTAAAGTCGATCCCTCGAGAAGCTCTGTGAAAAAAAGAAAAAACCCAGTTGTCATATATGAGAGAGAGAGAGAGAGAACAGTTGGACAAGCTGGTATAGAAAAGACTTTAGTCTCTTTAGCAGTGTTACTATTATCATCCATAGTGGCAAGCAATTAAGCCTTTTCTAATCCAACATCAAATAACCTTAGAAATCCCCAAAATGTAAAACCTGAGATACATTACCATCAGCTTTATATATATTAGTCTTAGAAAATCCCAATAATATAGAAGCCAAGATCTTGCATTAAAATAAGTGATAATAACAGAAAATGTCAGCATCCTTCCACAAATTGTTATTACGATCGCATTTGATATTTAGTGAGAGAAGTACAATGTAATAGCTCATTCATTCAAAAGCTATGGAGATGAAGTACATTATTTTGAATTAAAAAGTACATTTATCATGAAAAAAGGAGCCACGATCATAGTTCAAGAAAAAGTTACCTATCTGTACAAATCAGAAACATTGATTCTTCAGATCGTGAGGTAAGGAACTCCTTAATGTTAGAGAGACGAGATTCTTGGGTCAATGCTGCATGAAATGGGAGAGCCCGAACACAAATTCCTTTCCTATCAAAACGGTTCAATATATTCTCCACTTTCCTGCATGTCTCAATCTGGTGAAAGTAAAAAGGAGAGTTTTAGCAAAGTAACGGCTTTAGTCAACAGCTTGTCATATGGAGAAATCAACAAGGTAAAATTTCTAAACTTGAGAGTTTTTCTAAGCTTATTTATGAAATGAGACATTTACAAGAGACAAAAGAATGAAAGAGAGGAGAGAAAAAAGGCAAAGGCACAAGACATGCCTAGAATGCATAATACTTCTATTATAATTTTTTCACTTATTTGTATTTTTTTTAATATGTAATTCTTTCACTTCTTTGTTCTACAAATTGTTTAGAGAAATGGATAAACGTGAGGACTCTAGAAGCAAGACTGATACAGGGTGATACTTTATAAATCTTAGACAAATTACTGACCCTATTGCAGAAAATGATAGTTTTGGGAACAGCCGTTTCTTCCACAAGTTGCAGTAAAGCAGATCTCTTATTGGAAAATGCTGTCTCTGGAGTTTTCTCCCCTTCGACATCTCCACTGCAGTCTACAAGAACCTGCATGTATAAATGCACAAACCCATCGAATGAAGTTCAAAAATGGAAGTTGCCAGAATGTGAGCACTTGAGAAAACCTGCAGCAGAGATCCCCAAGCCATCCAATCTATGGATTCCAGGTAAATCAGTGTAACTCTACACATCTGATAGTATAAACCATATATAAGAGAGAGAGAGAGAGAGAGAGAGAGAGAGAGAGAGAGAGAGAGAGAGAGAGAGAGAGAGAGACGACGACGACGACGACGTACGTACGTACGTACGTACGTACGACGTACGTACGTA